TTAATCGGGCCGGGCCAGGCCAATAGCCCGGGAGGTTGAGAAATGAGGCTGAAATCATGTCACGTTTCCACTGTCGGGCTAGTAGCTCACAGCGGGTCACGCAAACACCGCCCACAGAACGTCCCTGAATCAAACGTCACACACCCCGTCCACTTCAGCGGGAATAAGGACAGGCAGATAAAGCAGACCATAGAATCATCACGAAACGAAACCATTAAAATGAAGACAACCGAAACAAACAAATGACACGTCAATGTCTATACGCACAGACCTGTGTATTTCCATTCATTACATTTATTGTTTATTCGCCGACCGACTGCATTGTGCATGGAGTGCTCTCGCCATTAACGCAGGGACCCAACACAGAGAGCGCACACATCCATAATATAAAGCCACAGAAATTCTCCCTTATAACTCGATATTGCATGTATTTTATAACATCCTCGTTTTGATAGAAGTGTTAAGTTTTCAGCACAAGAGCGAGTAGCCTAATAAAATAGACATATTTGTTGCTCTCGGCAGCTATTCACTAAAGCTCTTCATTTAAAGTTTCATTTATAAATTTAACCACGTCATATAAAAACATAAACAGTTGTTTGAGGATATGAAACACATTTTGTGTTTGGGCTTTCCCCCGATGCGTTTAAAGCAGCGAGCGCTGCGCATAGGACTGAGTGACAGAAAAAAAGGTATAGGCTAGATTCTGCTTTCACTCACCCAAGTAATGCTCTGTTTGCGCGATTTGATTAATATCATCGTATCCAAATACTTTATAAATATTTACTTATATAAATATTTACTTTATATAAATATTTCAAACCTTCTCCGGTGTTTAGTTTTTAGAAAATATCGAAAATCTTTTTTTCTTTTTTCAGACAGGTCTTTGTAAAATGAAAGTTAGGCTATATGTGGCTTTAAAACGGTTTGATTTATGTATTGTATATAGGCTACCTACATTGTTATAGCTAGCTTTTGTTTATTTTATATTGGTTAATTTATTTAATGTGATTTTATATATATCCGATATTTGTAATTCTTTAAATTATATTTTAATATAGCTTAGGCTATTTTATCAAGATATGACACTATATTGTTTAAAGTCTACGAAAGTGGGCACGTAATTTGTTAAGTTTTATGTCCTTCTGTTGTATTTAGTGTATTATCTCCAAAATAAATAAAGAAAAAAGCCGCTCGCGGCATAACAGAGCTGTGAAGGAGCGCTTTTGCCCGGTCTCACACACACATACAGGCATCTAAACGCACAAAAACAAACATTTTAAACTTGATAAAAACTCTCGAAAACCTTTACTGTCTGCTGTGTCTTTAATATGGTGTAAAGATTATTATGCGTTATTGAAACATAAAGGAGAACGCAGCAAAAAAAATCACGATCAGAAAACTGCCCGCCTCTCCTTTCACTCCGCCCCGAAGCTCCAGCTGGCTCCTTGGCCCAAGGTATTTGGCGGGCCGAAAAAGGCCAGCCTCTGGCCCCAAGAAAGCCCCGCTTTGGCCCGATTACGCCCCGGAAGTGACAGTGGAAACCCCACTGGCCTTGGCTCGCCCTGGCTCACTCGCTTTAGGCGCAATAGTGGAAACGCGGCTATTGTTGGCTTTATCACTCTGTCTCCTCTCCACCAATCAACTGGTGTGTGGTGTGCGGTCTGGCGCAATATGGCTGGTGGATGCTGCACACTGGTGGTGGATGAGGAGGTCCTCCCCATGTGTAAAGCGCTTTGAGTGTCCACAAAAGCGTATATATGCAATGATTATTATTAATTTTATAATGTATTTAATAAAAATATTAGAGATGTATTTTAAAAATATTGGAAAGTATATATCAAAACTCTACACACAAATATTTATCAAAAACATTTAATTAGCATATAAGTGGAAAATGATCCCTTTTTAGTTTATTGTTCATTTTAATAATTATCATTTTAAACAGTTAATCAAATATTTATTTATATCTAATCCATTACTTTACCATGAAAAGGTTTAATTAGATTATTTTGTTAAAAATCAAACAAAAAGTGCTCAGGGGTAGCTTAAATAATGTGTCGGTGCTTTTTGTTTCATCGGAATAAAGTGAGTCCAAGGCACTCGGAAAATGTGAAAACATTTTAAAAAGCCTTTATTTACATGGCTTTTCCTTAAAACTACACCAACGCGTTTCAGCAAATGGATAAAGGCAAGTGTTTGTCAAAAGGCGTCGGCGTAGTTTTAAGAAATAGCCGTTTGTATGTGCTGTCAATTGCAGTTCTTAGAAAGAGAATCGAAATTGTCAGAAATTGATAACAGCAGCTCACGCTTAGCAACAAATAAAAAAATCTGCCAATACAATTGCAATCAATGCATCTGTAACCCCGCCAGTCCTACACCACCCAACCAGCTCAGAACTGGAATTGAACCGGCAACCTTCCGGATGGTAGTCGGTTGCTCTAACAAGGAGGCTAAAGATACTCACTCCCATCCAGGTCACGGCACCAATAGCCGCGTTTCCACTATCGCGCCTAAAGCGAGCGAGCCAGGGCGAGCCAAGGCCAGTGGGGTTTCCACTGTCACTTCCGGGGCCTAATCGGGCCAAAGCGGGGCTTTCTTGGGGCCAGCGGCCGGCCTTTTTCGGCCCGCCGAATATCTTGGGCCAAGGAGGGCCAGCTGGGGCTTCGGGGCGGAGTGAAAGAAGAGGCGGGCACAGTTTTCCGATCGCACATGAGTACATGAGCCAAACAAATAAAGAAATAAGGGAAAGAAAACATCTAGCCTTATAGTCTGGGGTCTTTTTGCGTAGGATCACCCTTATGTTTCCCTTCTAAATGTAAGGCTGCTGCATAAAATAATAAAGTAGTTTTAATTTATAGTGACGTTTTTTGCTGCGTCCTCCTTTATGTTTCAATAACGCATAATAAGCTTTACACCATAAAGACACAGCAGACAGTAAAGGTTTACGAGAGTTTTTGTCAAGTTTAAAATGTTTGTTTGTGCGCGTTTAATGCCTGTATGTGTGTGAGAGACCGGGCAAAAGCGCTCCTTCACAGCTCTGTTATGCCGCGAGCGGCTTTTTTCTTTATTTATTTTGGAGATAATGCACAATATAAATACAACAGAAGGACATAAAACTTAACAAAATACGTGCCCACTTTCGTAGACTTTAAACAATATAGTGTCATATCTTGATAAAATAGCCTAAGCTTTAATGAAATATAATTTAAAGAATTACAAATATCGGATAAATATAAAATCACATTAAATAAATAAACCAATATAAAATAAACAAAAGCTAGCTATATGTAGGTAGCCTATATACAATACATAAATCGAACCGTTTTAAAGCCACATATAGTATAGCCTATAGCTTACATTTTACAAAGACCTGTCTGAAAAAAAAAAAGATTTTCGATATTTTATAAAAACAATTAACACCGGAGAAGGTTTGAAATATTATTTATAAAGTATTTGGATGCGATGATATTAATCAAATCGCGCAAACAAAGCATTATCTGGGTGAGTGAAAGCAGAATCTAGCCTATACCTTTTTTTCTGTCACTCAGTCCTGCGCAGCGCTCGCTGCTTTAAACGCATTGGGGGAAAGCCCACACACAAAATGTGTTCTATATACTCAAACAACTGTTTATGTTTTAATATGACGTGGTTAAATTTATAAATGAAACTTTAAATAAAGAGCTTTAGTGAATAGCTGCCGAGCGCAACAAATATGGCTATATTTTATAAGACTACTCGCTCTTATGCTCAAACACTTAAAACGACTTCTATCAAAACGAGGATGTTATAAAATACATGCCATATCGAGTCATAAGCCATTTCTGTGGCTTTATATTATGGATGTGTGCGCTCTCTGTGATGGGTCCCAGCGTTCGGCGAGAGCAGTCGATGCACAATGCCAGTTGGTCGGCGAGTAAACAAATGTAATGAATGGAAATACACAGGTCTGTGCGTATAGACATTTCATGTACTGCTGTACAGTAACGTGTCATTTGTTTGTTTCTGTTGTCTTCATTTTAATGGTTTCGTTTCGCGATGATTCCATGGTGTGCTTTATCTGAAGTGGGCGGGTTGTGTGACGTTTGATTCGGGGACGTTCTGTGGGCGGTGTTTGCGTGACGCGCTGTGAGCTATTAGCCCGTCAGTGGAAACGCGACATGATTTCAGCCTCATTTCTCAACCTCCCGGGCTATTGGCCCGGCCCGGCCCGATTAAAGCCCTGGCTCGCACTGGCCCGATAGTGGAAATGCGGCTAATGTAACCCCGCCGGTCGTCCAGGTCAGAGGAGTGAGGTTTACCTGCACAGCACTTCATTAGCTGGCCTCTGCTACACTTCTCTAAAATAATATGTTGCAATACAATATAACAATTTATTAAATGTAATAATTAATTGTAAAAGTTTGTCATACATTAATAATTTTAATACAATTTAGGTAATACAATATTATAGGTATAATATAATGTTACATAGACTCCAGACATTACTTCAAAAGTGGTTTGGGTCAGATTTCTAAGTCATATTTGGCTTTTCAGAGTTGCTGTTTTGGGTTATTAAAATAACCTTTAGGCTGTCGGAAATTGTTATTGACTTCAGATCAAATTTCTGTCAGCTGATTGTGTCTTTACTTGTTTTGAGTCCTGAATGCTTTCTTCAGTATGAATTATATCAAGAATTTGTGTGTGTGTGTGTTGTGTGTGTGTGTGTGTGGTGTGTTGTTTGTGTGTGTGTGTGTGTGTGTGTGTGTGTGTGTGTGTGTGTGTGTGTGTGTGTGTGTGTGTGTGTGTTTGTACACCCATAGTAACATGACCTGCCCTGTAACTCGAGTTTTTCATTCGGCTGTCACTGATAACAAACCACTTCCACGTATGATCTGGTAATCTAGATTCACAAAACCAACACAAAGCGGCTTATCGTCTTATCAGGACCTCTAGATATCCCCTCGTGCTTTCTTAATGGAGGAGCTGTGTGTCAGATCTCTTTGTTTTCTGGTGCGTTGCAGGTAGCAGTTGTAAAGGTGAAAAGTTCAGACAAGGTGTTTGCCATGAAGATCCTCAACAAGTGGGAGATGCTGAAACGAGCAGAGGTACATTTCCACTTGATCCATTTTGTCTTGATTTGCTTAGTAAGGAAAAGGATAGCTTTTTTACTCACTGAATTTACTCACTATTTTACACGCCGTCAAGTGGTTCCAAAACTTTAGGATTTTCTTTATTCTGTTGAACAAAAAAGAAGATACTTTGAAGAATGCTGGAAACCTTTAACCATAATTCAGTAGTAGGAAAAACAAATACTATGGAGGTCAATGGTTACAGGTTTTCAGCTTTTTTCAAAGGATCTTTTTTTTTTGTTTAACAGAAGAACTCATAAATGATTGAAATAAGTGAAGGGTGAGTAAATGAGGACAGAATTAAAATGTTTGGCTGAACTATCACTTTATTTTTAAATGCTAAATGTAAACAAGTTTGAATCTTTTTTTTCCTCTCCAGACAGCATGTTTTCGGGAGGAACGGGATGTGCTGGTGAACGGGGACAGTCAGTGGATCACCACACTACACTACGCTTTTCAGGATGACAACTTCCTGGTAGGCTTCAGCCCTCTGATTGCTCTTGAAACTCACATTAAGAAAAGTTTTGAGTACATCAGACTCAAACAATAGCCCCTTTCACACATACAGACCTTTCCGGAAAATTGCCGGAAAGGTTGTATGTGTGAACAGGTCCTTTTTGAAAATACCGGTAAATTCGTTCTGGCTATTTTCCGGAAAGAGAAGTTGTAACATTACCGGCAATTTGCCGGAATGCTGCGCTGTGTGAATGCAGAAGGAAGATTCCCGTAATAAGCGTGTGCACGTCTAGAACGTGCTGACTGAGACGTCTGCTTTAGCCAATCACAACAGTCAGACGCATTTACGTCCGCGCGGTTTGTGAGGATAAAAGCCTTTGAATATTTTTCCAGACACATTTAGCTGCTAGAAGTTAGTCAGATCACGTTTATATGTTCTTCTTAATGCCAACTGTGTAAATAATCATCGATGAGATGCTTATGATAAGCCGTTGTTTGGTTACCTTCAAGCTTTGCGTGCGCCTATGAGCGCCTGCATACGCACATATTATGAACATCTGAAGTGATCCTGCGAAAGTTGTTCACAATATTGATCATCCACAGAGTTTGTAATTTAGTCAAATGTTTACAAATACAAGCGCAGCCGTTTAAAGCTCATTTGTGCTGAATGATGTCAGAATTTACCGGTATTTTGGAATAGATGTGTGAATGCTCTTTTCCGGAAAATTTCTGAACGTCCTCGCCTGTGTGAACAGCGCTTTTTTGAATATACCGGTAAAGTCGTTCCGGAAATTTTCCAGATATTTACCGGTATTACTGTGTGAAAGGGACTAATGTCTACACTAATACTAGGGATGTGATGTTTTTTGGTAAAAAAAAGTTGTCCTGTTCAAGAAGGTCGCTGGTTCGATCCTCGGCTCAGTTGGCGTTTATGTGTGGAGTTTGCATGTTCTCCCTGCGTTCGCGTGGGTTTCCTCCAGGTACTCCAGTTTCCCCCACAGTCCAAAGACATGCGGTACAGGTGAATTGGGTAGGCTAAATTGTCCGTAGTGTGTGTGTATGTGTTGATGTTTCCCAGAGATGGGTTGCGGCTGGAAGGGCATCCGCTGCGTAAAAACTTGCTGGATAAGTTGGCGGTTCATTCCGCTGTGGCGACCCCAGATTAATAAAGGGACTAAGCAGACAAGAAAATGAATGAATGAGTTGTCCTGTTCGCTGCGCCCTTTGATTTGCAGTTCAGAATATGCATTATTCCCGCTGAATAAGAGTGAAGAGCCGACCGTTCTCTCTTTGCCGAAGTTTCATTCACTACGATGGTGGTTATAAGTGATGACGGAGCTCTCTGTAATGAATTTTATAAAACATGGGTTGTTGCCTTGGTAACGCAAGCATAATGTAAATAGAAGTAATCAATTTTTTAAAAGTGCACCTTTATTAAAATGTGTTGACAATTATTATCTGCATAATTGGTTGAGATGTGGGCGGGGCAGTGGTGCAGTAGGTAGTGCTGTTGCCTCACAGCAAGAAGGTCGCTGGGTCGCTAGTTCGATCCTCGGGTCAGTTGGCGTTTCTGTGTGGAGTTTGCATGTTCTCCCTCCGTGGGTAGTGTATGAGTGTGTGTGAATGTGTGTGTGGATGTTTGCCAGAGATCAGTTGTGGCTGGAAGGGCAACCGCTGCGTAAAAACTTGCTGGATAAGTTGGCGGTTGATTCTGCTGTGGCGACCTAGCATTAATAAAGGGACTAAGCCGACAAGAAAATGAATGAATGAATGAATGAATGAATGAATGAATGAATGAATGAATGGTTGAGATGTTGAGTCAACATGTAACACAGAAGAAGGGGAAGTTTAAGCTTTTCTCTCTATTTTTCTTAAGCATTTTATTTGAAGATACAATGTCCAACATATTCTACATTTATTTAATTAATGAGAGAACATGCAAATCTACAGTCATATATGTTAAGCCTGTTGCATTGTCAGGTGTTTGTTACCTAATAAATATATAAATGTTTCTTTGAACTTTACTGTAGCCATTTTTTACTAAAAATAGCATGAATCTTACACTCACAGAAAAAACGGTACAATGTTATGCCAAAGAAGGTACAAACCTTTGTCACTGGGGCAGTACCTTTTTATGAAACAGAATTGTACCTTAGGACAAAGAAACAAATTTGTACCATTGCAGTTTGTACCTTTAAGGATTTGCACCATGGGTTACCAAAATGTACTTTTGGTTTTTAAAACCTGCAAATACAATATTGTACCTTCATCAAAGGTACAAATATGATTCATGAAGGCAGCACTACAGTGACACTTTGTACCTTAACAGTGTCAAATGTGTTCCCTTAAGATCTATTTAAAGACATTTTGCTACTAGATATCCTAAATGCATCAATTTATTTTCAATAAATATAAAACATCAAACACATTTTAAAAATGTTTTTTTTTTAAGTTTTTTTCTGTGTTAATTTTTATTTTTCATGTACAATAAAGAATAAAAAATACTTTAACATAAATCAAATGATCTACTTTTGTTAAACATTTCACAACACTTTTCCCCAATACAGTACATTCACCTTTGTACAATATGAAGCATTTTTTGGTCTCCAATTTTCACACAATACCTTTGTAATCACTTAAAAGTTCATTTAATTTATTTAATTTTAAAATAGAAATAGAATTATGCAATAGTATTGTAGCGAGATATGCACAATGATTGATTAGTTTACAATACTTAAATGTCTGCATGAACACTTTGCATATGCAGGACTTTTGCCAGCTCACCTGCGTAGAGAAAAGCCAACGCCAAAAGCTGCAGGTGTCAATAATGAAACTGTATTTATTAGGGCTGTGCAATTAATCGAAAATTTGATTTCGATTTTGGCTTCTAACGATTAGGAAAATCATTAATTGAGATAAATGATTATTGCATCATATACCGCCCCCTTTCCAGTTGTACACACTTGTTGCTCTGCAAAGCTCAGTTTCACATGAAAATAACTAAAAGCTTGTACTGTAATGTAACTTTTGCAGCACGGGATGTGCATCGTTCATTGTTGAACATTCAAATCATGCATGTTTTTAAAAGTGCGAAAGAGATCTGCCGCCTGTTTTTATCATTATTAATCAAACAACAACAGGAGAAAATCCCTCACTGCTCTTGACTGAAGGACTTTTTGTAGCTAAAGGTTTTTTTTTTCTTACAGTGAAGATGCTTAAAGCACAGTTTGTTTCATCTTTTTATTCTATTGTATATATTCATAGTTCTGGTTGCGTATGTGGGTGTATGCATGCATCAAGTTTATAAATGCGCAAGTTTCATACATGTTTTGAACATAGTAAAGGTTTTTATGCGAGTCATTTATAGGTGTATATTCACTTGTTGATAAGCGAAGTTTGATGTAAATCCTACACGGCGACTCTAGCCATCTGTGTTTGGTGTCGGGAAGATGGATGGTGAGGCGACAGGTTGACTTAAACGTTTATGATGCCTCATCTTCTGGCATTGCTTCTGACTCTCAGTATGTTCTATCGGACAGAACAGATTTGATGTGTTCCCGCAGCTAGTCCGCACCAATCTCTCGCACATTTTGCTGAGCACCGAAACTATAAGTTTATCGGAACTTAAAAAGCCGAACAACTTTCACACCACTGCATTGGTCTTTACTTTCTCATCAACCAATTTGTCTGCATTCTTACTTGTGGAAGCTTGTTCCCCCATATCTGTATTTAGGGCTCTCATTTTGTAGCCTTTTGTAGCTTTCTGGGACGGAGCAGCTTAAGCAACTTCTGAGCGCTGGCAGTGGCAGCGTGTCTGTGATGTACATCATCACGCAAGTGACATCACACTCATTCTGAACATGGAAAGTCATTCAGTGACAAATGATACAAGGTATATATATATATATATATACCTTGTATCATTTGTCACTGAAAGACTTTCCATGTTCAGTATATATATATATATATATATATATATATATATATATATATATATATATATATATATATTAGGGATGTAACGGTATTGTAAATACCGTCATACCGCAATATTATTTTTTTCCGATATTACCGTAGTCGCATGACTCGGTAAAACTATAGGTCTTCTGAGAAAATTTGCTCAGGCGAATGAAGCGAACAGGAGGTAACGTTACCGGAAACTACAATTCCCATCAGCCCAGGCTTGGCCATAATCCCTTGCGGTCTGTTGTCGCTACAGATCCAGACAATGCACAACGTTACCCACTGCTGTCAACCTGGGCTAAGTCATATCTCTCTTGTCCCAGAAACCTCAGTCCCAAATGAGAGGGTTTTTTTCTGTTGCAGGGGACATTGTAAATACCCAGAGATACCAGCTTTTACCAGAATATATTTATATGATAATTTTCCTTAAAACCCATCTCTATCTAAGTGAGTGAGTGATTAAATGTTGAATGTGATGAGTTTTCAACAATACTAAATTGAAACTTTATTTTTTTACATGGTTTAATATTTTTTTGTTATTAAAATTGAAGTTCCTGTTTCAAAGCTTACAGATAGATGACTAATTTGTATGTCATTGACACTTTTGGCTCTTTTTTGGAGTATTTTCATAAGTTTTGTTTTTTCCTGTAAATGATTCAATAAATACCGTACCGTGACATTCATACCGAGGTATTACCGTACCGTGAAATTCTGATACCGTTACATCCCTAATATATATATATATATATATATATATATATATATATATATATATATATATATATATATATATATATATATATATATATAAATATAAAACATACAGATGCAAATGTATATAGAAATACCGGAAATGGGTTTAAAAATCATATCACCATTATTGAAAAAAAAAATCTATTCAATTCAATTCAGCTTTATTTGTATAGCGCTTTTACAATGTAGATTGTGTTAAAGCAGCTTCACATAAATGGTCATAGTAACTGGATCAGGGTAGTTCAGTTTTAAGTGTTTAAGTTCAGTTCAGTTTAGCTCAGTTCAGTGTAGTTTAAAGTCATTACTGAGAGTCCAAGCACTGAAGAGCAAATCCATCAATGTGTAGCTCTACAGATCCTGAACCATGCAAGCCAGAGGCGACAGCGGAGAGGGAAAAAAACTTCACCAATAGGAGAGTGAAGAAAAAAAACCTTGAGAGAAACTAGACTTGGTTCGGCACGACCATTTTAATTTCTCCGCTGGCCGAAAGTCTTGTGTAGAGATCAAATCTATTGCCATATATATTGATATCGAATTATTGTCCAGCCATAACTAAACGAAAGTGTTTTCACTCATATTAGTGTGGATGACGGTAAAATGATATAGTGTGGACATGGGGCATTTTCAGATGAAATTCATCTCTATTAGTCTTGATTTAGCAATAATTATGTAGTTGCAGTGAACACCCTGAACAGTCTCAGTCTGTTGTGTGAGCGCAGACAGACCTCAGAGATGCTGGTCTCAGAGAACCACACCTCTGGCCAGTTCCCTTATGAGGAATTACTGTGAAAATAATGGGGCCCATTCAATGCATGTGGTTTTCCTCAGCAAGCAAAGAGTTTGTTTTAAAGGTCTGAATGGTGTGATTGTTGTCCCTGCAGGTTGTTATCTGAACCACAAAAACCATAATTGCATAAAACCTCAAATGATCATACATTTGTCAGCATAAAAAAATATAGCTGTCTGATTAATGGATAGGGCGGAATGGTGGCTCAGTGGTTAGTTAGCACTGTCGCCTCAAAGCAAGAAGGTCGCTGTTCAAATCCCGGCTGGGCCAGTAGACGTTTCTGTGTGGTGTTTGCATGTTTTTCCTGTGTTAGCTTGGGTTTCCTCCGGATGCTGGAATAACTGGCGGTTCATTCCACTGTGACGACCCCTGATAATTAAGGGACTAAGTCAAAGGAAAATGATTGAATGATTAATGGATTGTTTTCTCGTACTTTGAATGCATTTAAATAAAAGCAGATAATCGAGGACTTTAAATCATTGGCAATGCATTGAATTGGTGCCATGTGTAAAGACCATTTGGGAAAACCCAATGTTTGGGAGCTTGGTATTGCTAAAATTTTAAAGCTAAAAAGTAGGCTTCAACTTTTAAAGCAACTCCATTAAGGCTAGTTCACACTACAGGATTTTAAACATCAGCAGATTGCTGTGCTGTTCACACTACATGACTTGACTTTGTGTCTTTTAATCTCTGAGGTGTTCACACTACGCAACACTCTGTGAATGATCCACAAGAGGGGGTCACACACTACATGATCTGACAACAACTCATTCCCCATCAGCTCATTCAAGCTACCAAACCACAGCCAATAAAATTGAGGGAGGAGTCGTCAGAAAAAGCTGAACACTATTGGCTGCTTGTGTGCTGATGACATCACTGACAGCGTTTCAAGCTTTGGAGAAAGCATTTAAAAACATCGTCAAATCAGCTAATTTATCAGCGGATTAATCACTCATCTGCAAGGTTCCAGTAGATAGATACACAGAGAGTTTTTAATTTTTGTAATTTTATAACTCTTTGAAATAAAACTAACATATTTATAACAACCTTCCATTTTCTAACTATCAGTGTATTTCTTTCTAACATTGTTATTTTTTTATTATTACAAAACAGTAAAGAACTGAGCATTTCTGCCTTAAATTACCATATTGGTTAAAATGACTGCATGCATGTCTGATACTTTTCACTGTGATTTTAAATATGTGTGCATTTTCTTGCCTAGCAACTTCCTGCTAACATAAACAAAACTTTCTGATGGCAAAAGCATCAATTTACTTAAGATATCTTACAAATCAGCATATTCTGTGCCGCGAAATAGCTCCTGTTTGAAAGTGAAAATGAAAGCCAAGACCTTTAAGTGTTTTAGTATCTTATCTACATATTTATAGGCTGTATAACCAAAAAAGGTTATATTTTTAGGGTAATGATGTCATTAAATATGATGCCAGACATTCAAAGCTTAATTTTAATATCTCAATAATAGCTTTGAATGTAAATATGTTGTGACAATAAGGCGTTTTATATAAGAACGGCCAGAATGAGCAGCATAGTAATTCTAATAGTTACAGTTCCACTGTTAATATAGCCTACTCTCATGTCTGTGTTAACGCAGAATGAAGCGAGTGCGTTGATGCCCATTCTGACCAATCACAGATGTTTCTGCTGAGCTCCTAAACACACAGGCATTCAGCTCATGCTGATATGCTCTCTCATTGGCTGCAGCTCGTCACTACATCTGAGCACACGTGGGGTTGAGTCGGCTGACGGCTCTGCAATATTTAGCATGCTAAATGTTGGATTTCCATCTGCGAGGTGTCGGCGACGCGTCAGCGAGCCTCGTTGATGCGTTGTTCAGTAGTTCACACATAAAGAGCGGCGAGTTCCGAGCACCCGCAGATTTCTTCCCGATCACAGCCCGATCTGTCGGCGAGCTCGTTAACTTCCAAATCGGGCTCAAATCAGGCTTAAAATCCTCTAGTGTGAACTAGGCATTACATACCTTAAATCAGGGGTCACCAACCTTTATGAAACTGAGAGCTACTTCTTGGGTACCGATCAATGTGCAGGGCTACCAGTTTGATAAACATTTCTCAAATAACAAATTTCAACAATGATTTAACAGGGTAGGAAATACCCTGTATTTAATGGATCAATGTGCAACACTTTATTTTTATATATCTCTGCAAATATTAACATTTTTAAATGATTACTTTTATATTAGATGGAGCTTACTGGTAAGTGGCGCTATGGTGAGCTATTCTTAGAACAGGCCTGCGGGCAACACATGTGATCCATGTTGGTGACCCCTGCCTTAAATGATGACATGGCAAGGAATATGATTCAACTGGAGTTCAGTCGATGTTAATATGATTTAACAACATTCATAAAGTCTTGATTTAATCTTCATAATTAAGTTACATTCAGAATGTTAATTTGAGTAGTGATTTTCTGTTTATGACTGAAAGCAGTTACATTGAAACAACTTAATGAAATGTAAAAAGTCTGTGTGTCATTCTAACTAGCCAGATATGAATTCATTGTTATTTATTTGTTGTTTCATTTGGTTGTTCTGTCATTCTTTATTATTAATGTTTATTTTAGACCGCTACATGTCATTCCATCGTATACAGTCGAAGACAAAATTTATTAGTCCTCCTGTAAATTTTACTTTATCAATTAAAATTGTTTAATTGATACTTTCTCAAATATTTCCCAAGTGATCTTAAACAGGTCGAGTAAATCTTCTGGAGTAAATTTCATTTATTTTAGTTTGGTTTGAATAAAATGTTAAAAGTAAATATATATTTTTACAAAGTCACACTTTACAAAGTTCTGGATGCGGAGGAAGAAGATGCAGGTACTTGACTGGCCTGCCTGCAGGCCCGACTTGTCTCTAATAGAGAATGTGTGGTGCATTTTGAAGTGCAAAATGTGACACCGAAGACCCTGTACTGTTGCCCACTTTATAGGACAGAATGGGCCAAATTACACCTGAAACACTTCATCACTTGGTGTTTTCAGTCCCTAAACGCCTTTAAAGTGTTATGAAAAGGAATGGCAACATTACAGAGTGGTAAATGCCTTACTGTTCCAACTTTTTCTAAAGTGTGTTGCTAGAACCAAATTTGGGATACATGCTTATTAAAAATAAATAAAATAAAATTAACAAGGAACATGTTAAATTGTGTTTTTTATATTGTCTGCAATGAAATACAGGTCAAATAAATTTAGAAATCACTACTTTCTTTTTCTTTTTTTGCAATTTCCATGCTGTCCCAACATTTTCTGTTTTGGGGTTGTACTTTCATCATGAAAAAGCCAAAAGAAATTCATTCATTTTCTTTTCAGCTTTGTCCCTTTATTAATCAGGGGTTGCCACAGCGGAATATACCGCCAACTTATCCACCATATGTTTTGCGCAGTGAATGTCCTTCCAGCTGCAACCCATCACTGGGAAACATCCAAACACACTCATACACTACGGACAGTTTAGCTTACCAAATTCACCTATACCATGTTATTGAACTGTGGGAGAAACCGGAGCACCCAGAGGAAACTCACGTAAACACAAGGAGAACATGCAAACTCCACACAGAAATGCCCACTGACCTAGCCGGGGCTCGAACCAGCGACCTTCTTGCTGTGAGGTGATTGTGCTATCCACTGCACCACCGTGCTGCCCCCAAAAGAAATGAGTTATTACAAATTATTAAAACTATTATGCTTAAAATGTGTAGAAAAATATCTTCATTAGACATCACTTGGGAAATGGATGCGCATTTCTTTCGAATCTGGTTTCTGTCTGCTTTTCCTCTGTTTAGTTCTGACATGCCTGTCTGTCTTCTACAGTACCTGGTGATGGATTACTATGTGGGCGGTGACCTCTTGACTCTCCTCAGCAAGTTTGAGGATCGTTTACCAGAGGACATGGCCCGCTTCTACCTGGCGGAGATGGTTCTGGCCATCGATTCTGTGCATCAGCTCCATTACGTCCACAGGTGAGAGCATTAAGCACACAAAGCGCCCTGCTTTTCTTTTTCCTCTGCTGCTGTGACATTTGGAGAAAATTGCAAGGAAATAATTTGCATTTGCCGGTCTGTGGGAATGTGAATTCTTTTGGGAACACAGGAAGTGACCAAATTGTTCTAATTTCAGCAGTTACAGGACATTTCAGTATTGGTCTATGCCTGCTAGTTCCTCCCGCTTGATCAAACTACATGTTTAAAATGAGCTTAAACAACACAATTCTTGAGATTTTTTTTGGGACAACTTAATTGTTTTATGTTTAATACACTTAAATTTGTTTGTCCCACTTTATATTAAATGGCCTCAACTAACATGTACTCACACTGAATTTATTCTAAACATTACATGATAGCCTGCTGTGACTGAACTAAACTTGAACAACTGTTGCACGGGTAAACCTAGGGCTTAAATGAGAGGATCTGGCGAAACGTAAGTTTATTTCATATCAGAAAGTTGTAATGGAATTTAAATAAGTGAAACATACTTCAGTTGGATTGCAAAACATAATTGTAAGAAACTTTTGAGATCATGGTGATGCTTTCACTGACTGAAATTATGATTGCTGACGACATATTTTTGATATGTTGAGCCTAGAGCTATAAACCTACACTAGTCTCACGGTTCGGTTCGGTTACGATTATCATGCCATCGATTCGATTCAATTCGATATTTCGGTGCATTGACGGTGCTTTCCATACACAGTTTTATATTTTCTTCACAGCAGCATTTCTTGTATTAAAATGTATGAATATATTTATATTTATATATTATTTGTAATACAATTTTGTCATTTAATACAAACAGTCAGCATTTAGCAAATAATGTAAACAAATATAAATATCCAGCTCAATTTCTGATCCTTGTCTAGTTCTCTTACACCCCTTTGATTGGTCACACCCTCAAAAAAAACGGTTGCGATTGGCTCTTGCGCGCTGCGCTCTTCACAGATGAGTGACACTGATAGGTGGCAGGCGACAGCGGCGATCTCACAGCTGATGTATGATAGACACGCTGGAGAAAACTCTGCAGACACGCGCTCGTTTCTGTATGCAAAAGTAACGCTGTAAAACAGCCGAGAAGAGAAGAAAAACCACGCCAGCAGGTCAAATGGGCCACTGTGTGTGTGTGAGAAAGAGAGAGAGAGACAGAGCGAGAGAGAGAAAGAAATGGAGTAGGCTACTTTCATTCTCTCGATCTCAGTGAAATAGGGGCTATTGTTGTATATGTCAGTGAAAGACTGATCCAGCAAACACACACAGTGAAATTGTGCACAGTTTATGAGTTTTAAGTAGTTAAAGCGCTGTAAATACTCGCGATCGCCTCCCTCGCGACAGAGCGCATATGAGGTAAATGACGTCAGTAATAACCGGTTATGATTATTACTGAACCGATACCGAATTGTCCGCGTCTGCATCGCAGTGCACCGAAGAAACGATTAATTTTGACACCCCTAGTTGAGTCCTAACATGGGAAGATTGTCACAAAAGAACTTCCCATCACTACTTTGTGTTTAACCTCAGAAGTAGCCTTGCACACACATTTTACTTAAGGCTGCCGTCTTGTGGGCTATTGTATTTGAATTTGAGGATGGGTAGATGGTCGTGGTAGGATAGTAGTTTTCTTGTGTTAAAAAATGTAGTCATCTTTGATTGATTTTTTTTTATTTTTTATTATACAATATTTATTCTGATGATTTTGAATCTTGCACCTAACACATCATAATTTACAAAACAAAAAAAAAACACTGAAACAAACAAACTTAAAGTAAGCAATTTCAAAATCTTGAAGCTAATTAAAGTTAGTAATTCTGTCTATATAAAGTAATTTAAACTGAATTTGAAAACAAGACTTGAGATAAAAACCAAAACTAATGAAAAATATTAAACTATTAGAACCTTAAAACCTACCCATATCCCACCTCAAGAGCACCAGAAGTGTTCAGCAATACATTATGAGCACATTAAGTACATTGTATTTATTTTTTGATGCAAGTACATAGTAGTTAAGGACACTTAATATAAAGTTGGAGTTTGTGTTGGTTCAACATGAATTGTGTGAAACGTGCATTTTTTACAGTGTGTTGCACTTCATTTACCGAGCGCACACTTTTAGGGGTAACACTCGGAGGCACCGGCCTCTCAGATGTGGCTCCAGTGGAATTGATTTATTCTGGTCTTGCTAATTGCAGGCTGCTGCTTGAGGTCCATGCATACAGTTTTGTGCTCTGGGAACTCAATAAGGACTGTAATTACAGGTTTAGCCACCCCGACCGTGAGAGATTTGTTTTGGACAGTTTAGAAGGGGTACGATACTGCAGGCAACTCCCTTCCAAGAAAGGAAAATAAATGAGGTTCAGCTTTTACCCATGTTAAAGTGCATCGTCCAATTTTGGACAGATTTACTCGAGCTTGAAATGAAAGGTTACATAACTGCATTCGTAGTGAAACCCACATTTTAAGTGCTGTGTGTAGCTTGGCCTGACGAAGGGGCGGGGCTTGTATTGTTTTCGTTTATGCAGGAACGCAGTGCAGGAAGTTGCCTATTTGTGTGCCAGTCTGTGAATTTCCTGTTTGACCCTGCATGCTGGAGGCAGGGTTCGTACGGGTGCTGGAAATCCTGCTTGATTTTTCTTTTATTTATGACTCAAGGCTTAGGTTTTTATTAAGTGTTTGGAACTGCTTATGTAATTGTGTTGCTTACATAATTTATCCTCCTAAAAGGAAATAATAATGATTAAAAACATAATTCATCCAAAAAATTTAAATTCCAAACCTTTATGTACTCCAAAATTTAAATTCTGTCATCATTAATTTACTCACCCTTTACATTTTTTAACTCTTTATGAGCTTCTTTCTTCGGTTGAACACGAAAGAAGATATTTATAAAAATGTTGAGAACTAACATTTTCAGCTGTCTTTATAATATCTTCTTTTGTATTCTAAAGAAACTCATAAAGCTCTAAAACAGGACATTTACAATGACTCACAGAGCTGTGTTCCCCTGATAAGCAGTGCACAATAATCACAGCTTTTGGTTAATCGCACTTGTGATTTTAATTTCATTAATCCCACATATTTATATGGGTTTGCACACAGATTCCGTGTGGGCCTTCTCATCTCTAATAACTGATTTATTTTATCTTTGTCATGATGACAGTAAATAATACTTGACTAGATATTTTTTAAGACACTTCTATACAGCTAAAAGAGACATTTAATTAGTTAATTAGGTTAACTAGACAGGTTAGGGTAATTAGACAAGTTTTTGTATAACAATGTTTTGTTCTGTAGACACTAAAATGGCATTTAAAAAATTAAAAACTGCTTTTATTCTAACTGAAATAAAACAAATAAGACTTTCTCCAGAAGAAATATATTACCAGACATACTGTGAAAATGTCCTTGCTCTGTTAAACATCATTTGGAAAATATTTTAAAAAAGAAGAAAAAAATTTGAAGGGGGCTAATAATTCTGGCTTCAACTATTTAATTTAGAAAAATCTGGAAAGTGTTTAAAGTCCACATGAACCGGCAATCATTTTCTTTTTCGTATTGTGACACAGTTCCTAAAAACTGAATATGAAATAAGAAAACGGTGGGCGTGGCTTGTTTTTTTCTATTGCGAGCTGATTTAATGTAGGAAAGTAGGCATTTCAAAAGATCAGAAAATGGTTTGGGGAGAGTTATCACAACCTAATGCTGTGGTCATACTAGATGCGGCACAAACGAATAAATCGTGGTATTCGCGTGTAAATAGAGTCGTGAACATTTTGAGTTTACTTGCATCATTCGTGCTTCAAATTCGCTTTATTCGCACACCAAATTCAGTCCACAGTAGATACGGATTCACGTCATGGGCAGGGCTTCATTTATTGAAATAATGACTGTGCTTTATGAAGGCTGAAAAAACATCGTATATTCGTACGGCGCAGTGTCTGAGTCCACTAGATCAGTGGTTATAATATATTTAATGCTTAATATTTAAAAGATACTTTAAAACATGTAAATAAAAAGTCATCAGCCTTTCAAATTTAATTTTTTCCACTGGATTGCGACTCCTGGGTTTGTTTTGCTAGATTAAGATCACAGCAATAGTTGCAGATTGATTCTGCGGTACAATATTAAACGTTGACACCTTTATGGCACTTGCATACATTAAAAATAAAGGCCATGACTGAACAAGGAGGGCCTGTCAATCTTTGCATTGACTAAACATGTAAATCACTCACGCTTGACACTTCATCCACAAGTTGTGTGAACGCAGCATCACAGACTCCTCCTCCTCACCATTTCTGTTTGTTGTCAAAACTGAGAGCTGAAGGGGCGTGGTTAAGTATGTTAGCCACTCCCAATACTTCAGACAGGCGTAATCTGCCAATTTAACTGAAAACCAAGTGCATTTTCAAACATTTTTTTTTTCTTAAACAGTTAAACTTTGGGTCCGTGACATCATCGACTTTCGCTTTAAGATTTAAAGTGCTAGCATTGCACCAGACCCCCGTAAGTGGTTTCACTTGAAAGTGTAGAATCTGTATTTTATGCATATATGCATCACTTTGGTTTTTATTTTACTGTACAAAAGTTATTTACACTTAAAAACAGTATTTTGGATACCCGAGCTGGGAACATTGGTTCTTTTTCATATGACACATGTACAAGTTATAGCTCAAATGAAAGCTCTTGCTAGTGCTCATACGGTTCTAGCGTTCTTTTAACTGAATTATATTTGCATATTAAACAGTTGGCGAATGAATCTCTGTGTTTTCATGGCGCAGTAGTAAAAACAATACATTTATGATCAATAAGCAGCCCCAGATAGCACAGACAGCTGTCATCTCTTAACTTATGCTGTGCGCTTCAGGGCCATTTCTCCTCTGTTTTTGAGGTGATGTGCATAAGTAATCCTTTTATATGTCTGATGTGCTCCAAACACAGTGAATTATGTTTGATCAAACAAAAGAATAGTGAAATAT